CTTGGACAACTATGTATTCATCTGAAAACACTTTCCTTCTGCCCAGATTGTTTCCCTGTATTGCTCTTAGTATTCATCTGCTGACAATGTATTCTCTCAGTTTTTGTCTGTCTAGATATATCTTTATTTTACCCTATAAATATCCTTTCACTAGGTATAGAATTCAAAGTTTTCCAGAATTTTAAAGATGTCGTTTCATTTAAAGATGTCACTGAATTTATGTATCCAACTCAAGCATAATAATATAAATCAAGAGGAGGCTGTGCAGATTATTGAGTTCATTTCTTTCTGTTTCCCTTTTCTAGGATTGCAGATCCTCTTCTGGTTCCATTATTTTCTCCTGTAAAGATGGCTATCAGATCTTTGTAGGTGATGTGCCCTCTCCACCTCCACCACCCACTCTCTGGCTATTTTAAATGTTTTTCTTTTTGTCCTTGAAAATTCAACTATATTTTCATGAGGACCTAGTTATGGTGTTCATTGTATTTATCTTGATTAGAGTTTGTGGAGATTCCTAAATGTCTAGATTGATGCCTTTCATCAATTTTGGAAATTTTTCAAGCATCTCTCTTCAAATATTGATTCTACCTAATTTCCTCTATCTGATACTTCAGTTACATACTTGTTAGAACTTCTCACCATGCTCCATAATGTCTCTCATATGCCTGTGTTTTCTACTCTTTATTATTTCCTTTCAGATCTTCAGTCTGGTTATTTTCTACTGACCTAGGCTCTGGCTTATTAATCCTTTGTTTAATTGTGTTTAGTCTTCTGTTAGATTCCTGTTGAATCTGACAGTCATTTATTTTTTAGTTCTAGGATTTCCATTTGATTCTTATTTTAATTTCAATTTTATGGTGAAATGCAGCATCTTCTGTTTTCCTGAACATATTAGTCATAATTATTCTAGAGCTTGTGTCTGATAATTCTAAAGTCTGGATAACCTGTGGATAAGTTTATGCTGTCTGTTTTGTTGAATTTTAGTCATTTGATACTGTTTCCCATCATGCCTAGTAATTTTGGTTTGGATGCTGGACATTATGTATTGTTAAAAGAAATTAATAAACAAAAGCTTTAATTAAATAGAGCTGAGAGACAAGAAGGGGGAGTTCTCATACACTGTGACAAAAGCAGAATTCAAAAGAACAAAGAAAGACTCCTTTTGTTTCCTGGCAACAACCTAGCCAATGAAAAGCCATTAACTCTGCGTTTACTATTATCCTCTCAACTTTCAATCAATACTTTTCACCTCTATAAAAGAATTCTCCTTCCTTTGCCATGTGGGGACTTGCACGTGACTCATCATGGCTGTAGACCCTGAATTTCAACTCTCTTCTCATCCTGAATAATGCCTCCCCCCCTTTTTTTCTGGAGAGATACCTTACAATTTATTAGTTTTAGGTCAAAACTATGAAAAATTATATGGTGTATGGATTACTTTTTTGTCTCTCAGAGAGGACTTACTTTTATTTGTTAGATACGGAATGCTGGCAGATCATCTTGATCTACTCAGGAATAGAAATTCTTTGAGAATATATGATTTTAACTGAAAGTCAGCTGCATTTACCAGGACCACTCTTCCTTTGAGAGCTTAATTTTTGTCTTCCGAGCACCATGATACTGTCAAAATCTGGTTTTTGTGTTTTAGTTTATTTTTTAGTTTGTTTGAGGTGAATTTTTTGCTTATTTCTCAACCTCTTGTTCTTTATATATCCAATTCAAGCATAATAATGTAACTCAAGAGGAGGCTGTGCAGATTATTGAGTTCGTTTATTTCTGATTCCCTTTTCTAGAATTGCAGACCCTGAAGTTTTGGTTGCTTTTGTAGCCTCAACTCAGGTATCTCCCAACTCAGTAAGGCTACTTTAAGCTCCAGAGCAATACTTTGTTTGGCTTGTATGAAAAACCAAAAATTCCCCAAAGGGAAAATCTGGCAGTAAATATGGGGCTCTCCACCAAACCCTTTTTTTCTCTCCAAATATTGGCTAAGTTCTGTCTGCCTTTGTTACTCTCACATGCCTTCAAGAACTTTTTTTTGTTGTTGTTATTTATCCAATTTTTGTAGTTGTTATTAGCAGAAGGATTGGCCTAATACAAGCTATTCTTTCATAGCCTGAAGCAGAAGTCTATCTCATCTAATTTTCACACTATTAATTGAGTGGAGTTAGAATGTTTTGTGCATAAGCTTTGTAATTAGACTTTGGAATTTAAATCCCAGCTGGCCATGGACCAAAATGTGAGAACTTGGACAAATTTTAACCTCTCTGACCCTCTACTTCCTCTACTTTTTAATAAATATCTGAGAAATAAAGTTGCAGAAACCTTAAAGGTCAGATAACTCCACTTTTATTTAAACTATTTCAGTGCATAATAAAAGGGAAACTTCCAAATCTAGTATATGAAGCTAATATAATTTTAATTCCTGAAACTGAGAAAAATGACACCTAAAATTATAGCTCAATCTCATTTGTGAATACTACTGCAAAAATGTGTTTAAAATCATAGTAAACAGTATCTAGCAGCATATTTTTTAAAAAACATCATGATTAAGAAAAGCTTACTCCATAATATAGATATAATTGACTACTATGAAATCTACTAGAAAAGCCATCAAATTAATAGAGCTGAGGAGAAAAGCATCATAGGATATCTCTATAAGTGTAGAAAAATTATTTGGTTAACTTCAACACACATTTATTTTATTTTCATTCAACAAATATGTATTGAGCATCTGCCCTATTATAAATAACACTGAAAATGCAAGAGTGAGAAAGATATTGGCACCATCCCAACTCACATTCCAGTGGAGGGAAAGAGCCAATAAATAAGCAAGTAAGGGGACAAGCTAGAACATAAATTTATTTTTAAAAGTCTATAAAATATGCATAGATTTCACTAATATGATAAACATGCTTGGGCCAAAAGCCAGCATTTTACTTGATTGGGAAACACTACCAGTTTTCTTCTTAAAATCAGAAGACCAGTATGCTCCCTATGTTCAAAATTCTTAACATTAGTGAAAGAATTAGCTATAAGAATAAGACTAGAGTAAGCAACAATAGAAGCTGGAAGAAAGAAAGAAAATCATGGCTATTTGCAGATTGTATAAATCAACAAATGGAGATGCCAAAAGTATCATTTGAAACCTATTACAATAAGAAATTCAGTCAAGTGGTTGGTTTTATCAATATGTAAACCTCAATTGCTGTCAAATATACAAACAAGAAACAGTTATAAGATATAATGAAAGACAAATTCCATTCATGACAACAAAAGGTGTGTAATAAAGACATTTTCAAAATATATACAGGAAAATTGTACTCTTGAAAGAAATAAAAATAGACTTGAACAAATTATTAAAAATACCATGTTAAATAAGGAGATACGTTATACAGAGGTCAACATACCCTAAGGTAATGTATAAATTTTATGCAATTACAATAAAATTCCCATAAGGTTTTTTTTCTTGAGTTATAACAGTTGATTTCCTGTTCCACAAATACTAGTTACTTCCAGGGATGGAGGTGCCAGCCCCTAGAACAGAGTCTGAGCAGCAGTGTAGAAAGAGCTGGGTTTACTTAGTACATCATCTGCTTTGTGCCTTTGGCATCTCTTGTTCCAGTTATTGTTCTCCAAGCTCCTTCTTTTGAATCTTGAGCTTATGAAGAACCAGCATTTGGGAAGCCTGTTTGGATAATTGTGCCATGCTGCTATGCTGCTGGCCTGTGACATGGTCTCCCATTGGTCTCCACTTGGCCTTTTGACTCATTACAGAGATCGCAGTCAGAAAGTGTAATTTAGGCAAGACAGGACAATCTTTTCAGTGCCTCCCCAAGTTTCCTTCCCAATATTGGCTCCTCCTTCCTCGCCCCGTAAGAATACTAGACGAGAATGCTAAGGTATGAAAGACATACTAATGCTAAGGTATTTGACCTTCTGTTCTTCAGTTGCTAGAATGGATTTTCACCTTAATCTTAATATTAGGCTCGTAAGCGGGTCACTTATAACAGACTGTAGATGCTTTTACTAGCCATGAAGCCGCAGTAGGTTTCAGCCTTTCCCCGCATTACTTCTCACTGGGCCTTTTCCTGTTGCCTGACCATGCCTTGTACTTTTCCGCCTTTTCTCAAGCTATTCTCTCTTCCTGGTACACCCTCCCTCCATATTGCTACCTGAAAGCCTCCCCATTCTTCCGTGCTATTTGCAAAGGTTCTTTAAAGAACCTTTTTTTTCTTACATTTTTCATATGATTGTGAACGTATTGGTATTCCTCAAAGCAAAATCTCCTCTTAATTTCTCAGTAATTTGTGTTTGTTCTGTACCCTTCTGTTCAACTGTGAATATCTTCAATTCAGGGACTCTATCTTTAACCTATGTAATTTCTGAAACACTTTGCTCATTGCTCTGCACATTGCAAGAAGATGAGATTGAATTAAGAAGAGCCAAGGCTTAATCTAGTCCAGTGGCATGGAGCGGCTATCCAAATTGTTCATAGTTTCCCACACTTTGGAAACTCTTGAGGAGCATGATCAATCACCAGATCATGCCAGTGACCTGCACAGGAACAATAATGGTCTTTACCATGGCACCACAAATTACAGCCTGCTGCTGCTCACATCATTCTGGCTCCTGTCTACTTATGTTTTCCCTACAAACACTTGCACTCTAGGTTGAGGGTGGGAATTCAACTTAAAACAAGGTATTTCCTAATAATTAGAACCAGTTTCCATATAAGGAAGACCATGAGAGTTGAGTCTGCTCATTAAAAACTGCATGATTAACAGTATTTTTGCTTAAGCCAGCAAAGCAGCAGCTGATTTACACTTATAGATGTGTATGTATATGTTGAGAGTTTAGTAGTCCCAGCACTGCTGAATGTCTTTTACTTACGAGATTGTTCACCCTTCTGTGAATGAATGTCTAACAAGAGGTGAGGTATTTGCAAGTATTTCTACATATAAATTATTCTTCAAAAACACCAAATCTTTCTTGTCTTGCAGGAATCCAGAAGCGTTGAAGTCATAAGAAGAGAAGGTAGGGAAGATGCACTAATACTCATTTCATTCTCATTGCGGGCATATGGATGTAGTTTGTTAAAGTTAAGATTAACTTCAGACTGTGGGCAGCCTGTTCTTTGAAATTTCATGTGACCTGTTCTGGGTGCTGACTACTTGGCACTGGCCTCAGGGACTGCAGAAATGGAAGCCGAAGTTTGCTTGTGAGAACTGTCTTCTACCTTCAGGTATCAGAGATGGGGTCTAGGGAACTGGCTCATTCATGATAATGTTTGCAGTCTCTCAAAAGAAGCCTCATTTTTGAGTGAAGTTTGAAATAATTATTTAATTTAACCTGGTGAAAACTACATCAACAGTAAAAAAAAATTGTTTATGGTTAGAGGTATTTCAATAACTGGGAAAAGGTGCCATAGTGAAAAATATTTCTGATTAGATTTTTACAACTTTAGTTAAGCTGAAATAGATATAAGTAATTAATTTTCCTTTTGAAAACAATTCCACAATGCTTTATTTTATAAAACAATGCTTTATTTTCCCTGCCAGAGTTCCTCTGGTGCATCTGTTTTCTGATTACTGAGGTAAATATATATGGGTGGTAATTTCTGAAATCTTTTAGTGGAAATTGAAGTTACTCTTAAGTGCTTTCAGTGATACCTAGTCTCTAATAAGAGAGTGTCTTTTGTATGATTTACGGAAATCACCACCAATCATCCCTTTATTTCAGGGATGGGAGGATGAAGTTAGGAGCCAAAGTGAGTCTTGGTCTAGGGTCTGGCCTTTGGTTTTAGCTGTAGCCACACCTCCTTCATGGTGGTATTGTCTCCAAAAAGAGCACCAATCATTAGAAGTAAGAAAATACCATATGGAGATTCAAATCTAAAACCCTTGTCTCTTGGTTAGCTCTTATTTTATGCAACACAATGAAAAACACAGAAGGGCCATGTTACTGAAGTGTGTCTCTAGACTTTAACTTTCCATACTGTCTATCCTGATGGGTTCATAGAACCAGTGGTTTGCTGCTGTCTACGGTACTGGAATCCTGGATTCAAAGGATCTGGTTAATCGAGCTCTAGGATGAACTTTCTGGCTTTCACTCTCATTCGCCATTGTCTCTGGTTTTCTGGTTCAGCGTCCTCTGCACTGCATCCATAGCGTAAACCACATCGTTTGGACATCAAAATCAAATGATACTGGATGAAGGTGGGTGGGGCAGGGAAGGGCTGTTTCTGATTCAAAGCTGTGTTGGCAATGGATATCATGACCATGTAATCTGGAGAAAAATAGCCATTAGGAGACAAGTTGGCGTGAGCTTTGGTTTAGAATCCTGTTCATTCCACTACTCCTGAGTGCGTGTGATTGTTTGGTGCACAGCACCATTTGCATTATGGACTCACATATGAGCTTAACTGTTTTGCACTCTTACTGTTCTTGTGTTAGAAATGTCTTTAAATAATAAGACTAAGATGTGAGAAAACCATATGTATTTTTGCTCAAAGGCATAAAAGAACTTATTGTACCTGAGACTCCAAATTCCTAGAAGACTAAGTGTCTCAGGATGAGCAAAGGCATGGTTAGGCTGTACTCTATTTTCCCATAACCCTCTTCTTTCTTGAAGCAGCATGTTTCATAACTGGCTTACTGGGAACATATGCCTTGGGTTTGTACTGGTAAATTTGTCTTGATATAACAGAAACATTTTTCTTCCTTCTGTGAGCTGATGTTTCTTGCTTACTTCTGTCAAAGTTGAGTGTTTGAAAATTCCTGCAATAGCCCAGTGCCTTAATGTCAGTGCTTATAACCTGGCAGGAAGGAAGGAAGAGTGGGACCTTGTAGGTCAGTTCTGAGTATTTTTTAAGTCTGAGATTCAATGGTTTGGGTAGTAGGGTTGTTAATCTTCCCCAGAACAGTGTATGTGTCTGGGTATAAGAATAATAGAAGTGCTGTGAATATTTCAATAAATATTCCACACAAATAAGACATTATTGTCTAGCAATGAACACTTAGCTTTGACTTGATCTGGCACTGAAAGAGGAGCAAATAATTAACCCTCTGAATTTTTCTGCTTAGTTTACCAGGCCCAGGAGATCCTGGAAAGGTCTAGAGGGGTAGCCTCTGTATCACAAAACCTAAGATATTTTTCTGTTTTTGTTTTTATGTAACATCTGACTCAGGATATCAGCTCCAACCAGGGTTCATAGCTACACACGAATGACCAATTGCCACTTTACACTCTAACTTTTGGAAGCTCTTCATTAAGTCTGTGGAGTGAGAAGTGAGGGGGCTAGTATTAGCAGTGGAAATGGAGTCCAGGCTAAGTCACGGTTGGAGATCATGAGGGTGACACGAATGCACTGTGTGCCTCAGATGGGCTCCGTGCCTTATTTCCCCTCTGCTGCTCCCATCCAGCGCTGTCCTGGTTCTCAGACTGTAGCCCGGCTTTCTTGCCTCATGCATTGTCCCTGCAGCCTGCCTTCTCTTTGTCCCTCATCTTTGTGAATCCTACCTCTCTCTTATCCCTTCCAATGCTCTCTCTGAAGAGTTTTGCTCACTCTACTTTACCTGGGAGTTAAGTCATTCATTTCCTGAGAGCTGAAACCCTCCCCTCTTTCACTCCTAAATTCCTCAAGGCCTTAGCCCGGGGCCTATAGTTGCTCAACAATCATTTCCTGAATTAAGTGCAAATTTAAAAATTGCCTTGTATATGTATTTTTTCACTCTGATCCTGTCCCAGTGATATACAAGAGAGGCGCTGAATCATTTGGTTCTACAGAGGCACTTCTAGGAAGTGTTCTGTGGATATCCAGATATTCCCAGCTGATGCATTGATGAAAGTGCTCCATGTTCAAATAGGTGTGGTATAATACCTATACCTATAATAGGTTGGATTGTGTCTCCCGAAAAGATATTTTGAAGTCCTAATCCAGAATATGTGAATGTGACCTTACTTGAAAATATAGTCCTGACAAATGTGTAATTATGATGAGGTCATACTGGAATAGGATGGACCCTGATCCAATAAGTGAGATCCTTTTGAGAAGAGAGACTTGGACACAGACACACAGGGAGAAGAGCATGTTCTAAAGGAGGCATAGAGCAGACTGAGAACATAAGCCAAGGAACACCAAGGGTTGTTGACAGTCAGCAGAAGCTAGGAAGGAGCGACAGAGAATCCTCCCCTAGAGCCTTCAGAGGGAGGGTGGTCATGCCAACACCTTGATTTCTGACTTCTAGCCTCCAGAACTGGAAGAAAACAGATTTCTCTTGTTAAGTCACTTACTTTATAGAACTTTGCTACAGCAGCTGTAGGAAAATAAAACACTTGGTAAATGCTGGACTCAGTATCAAGATGGTTGTTATTTTTATTGCAGAATCTCTTAGGTCATTAAGATATTAAATAGGACTTTGAAAAGGGAGTGTAATATGCAGCATTTTCCAAACTTAGTTTCCCATGGCATCTTGATTTGTTGTTTTTAATCATCTCTGGCTAGGCTTCCACACAGTGCCCTTTGCAAGCCCTGCTCTAGAGAGTCCACAAAGAGGGACTGCTTTGACAGAGCCCAGGACATGCCCCAGCATGTGACTGTCTTCCAAAGGTGGTGTGTGGAGAGAGTGGTGAGATAGTTATAATGTTAATTGCATCTTAGGTATTCCGAAGTTTTCTGAGAGCTTTCATGTTCTTTATCTCCCTTGACTCTCAGTAACCCATGATATTAGCAGAGCAGATGGCACCTTACATGAGACTCCTTCCTTTTCATGCTTATTTTAGTAGGAATAAAGAGTTCTTTGGGCCACGGTCCCTCTGGACCAATGTCTCTAATAGGCGGGTGATGATTTGATCTTGCTTCATCACCCAAGGATTTCTAAGCATACATGATCACTGCCAAGCCCAGAGAGCTAAGAGGGACTCTTGGAAGAAAACTTTCTAGGGGAGCTTTGTTTCCAATTTAGATTTGTGAGAAGGACTCTCAGGGGAGCCTGGAGGGCGATAAAGGATCAGATATTGTGGCAGGACAGCAACCTTGGGAGGATGTCTCTTGGTATTCCAGGTGGACCTCCTTCTACCTTCAGGGCAGTCTTACATCATCCTCTTGCCCTGGGTTCCCCTTTGCCAGCAGCACAGGGAAGGCAGATGGCTGCTTCTTCATCGCCTCTCTAATGCAGGCCTTTTTACACCTCCCTCTAGTCACCTACAATTTAATTTCAACTTTTTTTTCCTGAAACTTCCACAAAAGGTGCCAACCTCACCTCGCTGAGACACTCCCATGTCCACTCTGAGGGCTGATGCTGATGATAACTGCCGGGATCCATCTACCCAAACCGGTGCTTTTCTCTAACTGATCCCATCACACTGAATTACAGTCATGAGAGAACACTCGAGTGAGCTGAGCAAGCGGCCAGGATAATTCAGCCCTCGTCAGCCATCTCTTAGAGCATGGGGTGATCAGTAAGCTGTTCCAGATGTCTGTGACTGTGCTGTGATTAGAGGCTGTGGGCTTTGGGGGCGGGCACCAATGTCACACTGCATTACCCATCTTCCCGACGAGGGCTCACTCGCACATTCCCGTCTAGACCAGCCTGCCGTGGCTTCCAGCAGGGCTGTGAGGGAGACTTGAGAGGAGGGATGCTACTGTCTTCACAGAAAAAGAGAGGGAAGTGACAGTCACAGAGCTGGGGTGGCTGTGTCTCCTTAGCAATGCAAATCTCCTACATAAACATGACCTGCCAGTCCTGAGTGTGTAACTAGAGCCTCACTTTGTGAAAACCCTTGGAATTATTCCCTTAATTGGCAGCTGCCTCTAATAGCCCCTTTATAGTTCTTTGCATCTGGGTAAACTTCAGCTATCAAGAATTGCAGTCTGTTTACCATTAATTTTGATTTTGTTTAGCAGATGTTTTCTGGGTCTCTCGGTTGCCTGCATAATCTATCTTGGTATAATGTAAAGTGGCTGACTCTTTTCGATGAAACAGATTAATAAACTCCTAACTTCTTTTGAGATAACTTCTTTAATGGCTGCAGAT